TTTTTTTTTTTTTTTTTTTTTTTTTTTTTTTTTTTTTTTTTTTTTTTTTTTTTTTTTTTTGAAGTAATGGCCTAAGAATTGTGCGACAGATCGGAAGCGAGAAACTGCAATCGGATATGGTCACGGCTGAAAACCAAATTCGCGGGTAGCTAGTTACTGGCTCACTGCCAAGCGAAGCTACAAGCAGAGACAGCCCTCTGCTACTCGAGAAATCGAAAAAATGGCCGCTAGAATAAACACCTCCATACAAAATTCTCTCTGGCTCTTAAACCCTTTGCAGAATTCTCGCAATCTCAAAGCTACCCATTTGAGAACCCGCTTCAAATTCTATCAAAATCTGTTATCAGCCCCGTCTTCTTGTTCTTCTTCTTCAAAACGAGCCATATTCTGTTCCTCTGCGAGCAATTTCAACTCCCATGATGGCGGAGCCGCAACAGGCCCGTTTGTCATCACAACGCCACTTTATTATGTTAATGCTGCCCCTCATATGGGGAGTGCTTATACCACCATTGCTGCCGATGCCATTGCGCGGTTTCAGGTTCCTCTTTTCCCTTTATCTAGAATCTCCATACTTGTAGTTCTTGTTGGTTGTTCGTATAGTTAGTGCTTTGGTAACTAGTGGGGGCATCTGTTTAATGCTTGATTTGAATGAGCTATGAGTAATTGTTGCTCTTATCTATTATTGGGTGTTTTTTGGTCGGCACTTTGTAGCTGAAATTGAAGATATTGTTATCATACTTGCCTTCTCCATTTGTTTTCTTTGTATGCTCATATGTAGTCCAGCCAATGCGAGAGCAAGATCACGGATAAGGAAGCATTGTTTATAAGAATGTTGAAACCTCTCTCTAGTAGACGCGTTTTAAAAACCTTGAGGGGAAGCCCGAAAGGGAAAATCCCAAAGAGAATAATATTTGCTAGTGGTGGACTTAGGCCATCAGAGCCAGATAGCGGGCAATGTACCAGCGAGGAGGTTGAGCCTTGAAGGGGGTGGACATGAGGCAGTGTGCCAGCAAACGCTGGCCCCAAAGGGAGGTGGATTGTGAGAATTCACATCGGTTGGGGATGAGAACGAAACATTCTTTATATGAGTGTAAAAACCTCTCCCTAGCAGACGCGTTTTAAAAACCTTGAGGGAAGCCCCGAAAGGAAAAATACCAAAGAGGACAATATCTGCTAGCGGTAGGCTTGGGCTGTTACGGTGTAGGGATTCAGTTTACACACTTCTCTCTTTCTGATACCTGCTGTTTTAGTTTGTTAATATTTGAATTTTGGAATACAATTTTACCATCAATGGCTCCTCAATGAACTTAAAATTTCAACCCCTTGTGTCAAATATAATAACAGAGGCTGCTAGGAAAGAAAGTCATCTTCATTACTGGCACAGACGAGCACGGGGAGAAGATTGCCACGGCTGCTGCTGCTCAGGGTTCGGGTCCAAGCGAACATTGTGATAACATTTCAGAGGCATACAAGACACTCTGGAAAGATGTAGTCCAAACACATTCCATGATTTTCTTCTCAGTTTGCTGCAATTAGTTTATCAAATATTTAAAGTTATTCATTATATTTTCTTTTTCTCCTTCTGGTTTTCCCCCTTTCCAGCTAGATATAGCTTATGATAAGTTCATTCGGACAACTGATCCTAAACACGAGACCATTGTAAAGGAATTTTACTCGAACGTTCTTGCCAACGGAGATATCTATAGAGCTGATTATGAGGGACTTTATTGTGTTAACTGTGAGGAATACAAGGTGTTCTTTCTTGTCTTTCTCCTTCTACCCATCTGAAAACTCTGTATCTCGAATCATACGGTATTCACACGTCAAAATTCATGTTTACTATAAACAATTATTCTCTCCTCAATTATGATAAAATATTGATCGATCATCGCTTTTCCAATAGTTATTTTTCCTGTGGTGTGGATGCATTCAACAGTAGGGTATAGTCTGCATTAGTTCTCTTACATTTATAAGCACATTCATTTCTGGCCCCGCAGGATGAAAAAGAACTTCTTGCTGACAACTGTTGTCCTATACACCTGAAGCCCTGTGCTTCAAGGAAAGAAGACAATTACTTTTTTGCATTGTCAAAATACCAGAGATTGCTTGAAGAAACTTTAACACAGAATCCAGGGTTTGTGCAGCCTGCCTTCCGTTTGAACGAGGTGACTATAGACGATTTTTCTTCGCTTGTGTGTGAAATTTATTATTCCTCTTCCATTATAAGTATGCATTACAAACTATCTATCTATCTATATTCTAGATTCTCCGTTACCAGTAACCCAAGCTAAACGTAAGTCTCGTAAATGCTCATCATATCTCGTTGATCTAATTTGATATTGTATTTATATAGCCATTTTTTCTCGAACGACAGAATATCAATTCTATTGTTTGTTACAATTTTTTCCACCTTGCCGATCTCGAATCATCCTTCGTTTAATTCAGCACTATATCTTCCAAGGTGCAAAGTTGGATTAAAAGTGGCCTAAAGGACTTCTCTATCTCCAGAGCATCAGTTGAATGGGGCATTCCAGTTCCCAATGATCAAAGGCAAACAATTTATGTTTGGTTTGATGCATTATTAGGGTAATCTCTTCCCTTATGTTTTTTGTAACCTCGTGTATTGTGACTTTTTGAACCTTTATTAATTTTTTTATTACTACAAACGTATGGTTTATGTCAATTTGCAACAACTCTCCACCATTTTATAAGAAAATTGAAATGGATGCTACAGCCATTGCCTTCAATCTTAATCATATGAGAATTCCATAATGTAGTTATATATCAGCACTATCAGAGAACGATGAGCAACCAAATTTACAAACGGCCGTTGCTTCGGGTTGGCCTGCTTCTTTACATTTGATTGGTAAGGTAAGAGATACATTCCTGTTATTCAACCATTAATGAACTCAACATTCTGTGTTATTGTTGTATTCTGGAGGTGCTAATGGTTGTTTCCCTTTTCATTTTCTATCTAGTTCAAGCTAGGTCCGTTGGATGCTGATCTAATGTCTTTGTTTTAGGATATTTTACGTTTCCATGCAGTTTATTGGCCTGCTATGCTAATGTCTGCTGGACTAAAGCTTCCAAAGATGGTTTTTGGTCATGGGTTCTTGACGAAGGTATGTTTGGCCCCCTAAAGTTGCTACCAACAAAGGAATTTAGTTGACGACTGTACCGGTCTAACTTTAAGGACGTAGAAGAGAGTTAATATTTTATTAAGTCTGCAAAGACAAAACTAGTCACCGTTACTTTATGTATAATGTTAATATTGATGTATCTTGTGCATTATAAAAGGTCTTGATTGTTTTGTGAATCTTACTGAATCTCTGAGTTTGTCAACATTTGAATGCATATGATCTGTCCTAACTACACCCTGGTTCATGGCACGAGTGGTAAACAGGGAGCCTGTTGCGAAAGTTGAACGTTTTCTCACTCGAGAACAGATTCATAATCCTTTAGTTCCACGAATTTGACATCATAACCTTGTTTGTCTACATTTTATGCTGGAATTTAAGTTCGGGCCATTCTTTTGTCTGTTCTGAAAATTATTGCCAATCCACAAAACCTCTCATTACTAATTTTATATTATGCACCAACTCTTTTTGTTTTAACTTTATAGGATGGCATGAAGATGGGCAAGTCATTAGGCAATACTCTTGAACCAAATGAATTGGTTCAAAAGTTTGGCTCGGACCCCGTGCGATACTTCTTCCTTCGAGAGGTGGAATTTGGTAGTGATGGAGACTACGCCGAGGATCGGTTCATCAATATTGTCAATGCGCATCTTGCAAATACGATAGGTATATTTTAACTGGAATCCCTATTGAACGGAAAATTACAGCCCTTTTTAATGGAGGCTTCTGTTTGACACCACGTAATTCTTGACGTTTCTTTTGCAGGAAATCTTCTTAATCGAACCCTCGGACTCCTTAAAAAGAACTGCCAATCTACTTTGGTGGTTGATTCTTCTGCTGCAGCTGTAGGAAATGCTTTCAAGGAAAAAGTCGAGGAATTGGTAAGGTCGACTTGGAAATTACATTCGTATTTATTATCTGAGATGGCACGGAGTTGGCAAAATAATTCTATATCGAATTTTTCGTCCTTGAAATCTTCTCTGGGATCAATTTAGTAAATAGCTTGAGTCCACTGTGGCGTGGATATTGTCTGTTGTGTGTCCTCTGTTTATGACTTTATGACCAATAAGTTCACGAGTATTTGCAACCGTGTCGATTTTATTAGTCTGCCTTGTAGGTTGCGAAAGCTCGGAATCATTACGAAGAGCTCTCCCTTTCATCGGCTTGTGAGGCTGTGTTGGAGATTGGCAATGCTGGAAATTCCTACATGGATGAGCGAGCACCATGGTCTCTCTTCAAACAAGGTGGTGCCTCATCAGACGCAGCTGCAAAGGTTATCCAGTTCAAGACTCCATCTTTGTTTATGCGCATGATTTTCGATATGAATTTTTGATTCACGATTCCTTCCAACATTCAAGAACCCCTTCTCTGAATTCAATCTGGCTCAATTATCTCGACAGGACCTTGTTCTTATACTCGAGGCGATGCGAATCATAGCCATTGCATTATCCCCAGTAACGCCACGCTTAAGCTGGAGAATATACGAGCAGCTCGGCTTCCCTGAGGACCAGTTTGCAGCTGCAACATGGGTCTTATACTCTTTTCATACTTGTGTTTTGTTCTTTTCTGTGTTTGATATCAGCTCACTACCAGTGACTGATAATGCGACTTTTTGGCTGTAGAATGAGACGAAATGGGGAGGGCTGAAGGCTGGTCAGGTTATGGCTCTTCCAAACCCAGTCTTTGCTAGGATTGAACAAGCCATTGTCAATGGTGAAGAAGAAGCTCCCAAAAAACCAGTCAAAAGCAAGAAGAAAATAGCTCAAAAAGTGGCAGAAGCCTAAACCATGCCCTCAAATTTCAAGTTGTCTCTCATCTTCTGTTTTTCCTTCTAACAATTTTGTTCTTTCCATAAATGAATATTTACCAATTATTATATCAGACAATTTAAACTAATTCTCAGCCAATTTATAATGGTAAAACATTGAACAGAACATTTAAATTCGATTTGGTAAGGTTTGGCCACTACAATTTAGAATATTCAAATTTTGGCCTCCATATAAGAAGAGCCCATAATGTCTGTATACCTGTATATGTAAGTGAGCTTGTACCAAGTACAATCCACATCCAAAATGGAGAGATTTCTTAAGAACAATATCATGGTAAAACAAAAATTCTGTCTGTCACTTATTCTAAATAAAGAGAACGAGGTAATAAAGATCACAACACAGCGAATCGTACGAATCTCCTCGCAAACGTATCCATTCATCTATTGAAAATTCTTCACTCCAGCCATCCGACATCATTTTCGGCATGATTATACTGAGTTTACGAGCTTAGTTTTTTCTTGGGACTTCGAGTCTGGTTCGGAAATCGTCCTCCATGAGAGGAAGTCCGTCCCTCAACTTGATCTTTGGCTCCCAGTTGAGAAGCTCCTTTGCTTTCGTGATGTCGGGCTTCCTTTGTCGAGGATCATCTGGTGTGTTTTCCACCATGATGATCTCCACGCCAGGATTGATGAGCTGAACAGTTGACATTCACAATCACAGTTGAGATCTATGAATCTATGTTGTCATTTGGGTAACACAAATCCCATATGTAAAAGAACCATATTAAGTTGCTAGAATTACCTCTTTCACAGTCTCGGCCAGTTCGAGCATTGTGAATTCACCTGAATCGCAGAAACAAGAAGCATTTAGGACTAGTCTGAATCGAGAAGGAGAAACTTATCTAGCAGAAAATTGAAGGAAGACCTGGGTTTCCAATGTTGATCGGTCCTGTGTTATCACCCTCCATTAGCCGAATGAGACCATCAACCTTCATTTGTCAGTTAAAAATTAGGACATCGATCGGGACATAAAAAGCTGATAATGAGTACAGATGTTTGAATCTACACATGAACGAACCCGAACCAAGATTTTCTTACCATGTCAGAGACATAACAGAAACTTCTTGTTTGCGTTCCGGGTGCTTGAACTGTCAAAGGCTCGCTACTGCACGATATAAAGGTACACAGTAGCTTCTTGTTTATGTGGCGTGAAGAAATTAAACAAGCATTGAAGACGAAGGATAACGCTAATAGGGCGAGAAAATTGGATGACAGCTACACTCACCGGATCGCTTGAGCAATGAAGTTGCTGACAACACGACCATCATCAATATTCATTCGGGGTCCGTAGGTGTTAAAAATTCTTGCAATCCTTATCTCTACAATTGTAAAGGTTCACTTCAAGACAGGAAGTAATTGCACAGAAAATGGAGCCCTGGTTGTAATAATATGTGCAATCCAAAAAAACTCACCGATCCCGTGTTGCCTGTGGTAATCAAACATCAGAGTTTCGGCCACTCGCTTGCCCTCATCGTAGCAACTTCTCACACCTGCAAAAGTTTAACAGACACACCAATATTCAACAATGCAGCCAGCTGACCCAACCTTCATTGCATCACAGAATCATGATTCACAGACATATGAGAATGCTATTTGAATTCACATCACTTCGAATTCATATGAGAATCGTGTTGTTTTAGAGCAAATGAAAGGAGACATTAAGTGAATCTTTGAATCAAATTACCAATTGGGTTGACATTCCCCCAGTAGCTTTCATCTTGAGGGTGGATGAGAGGATCTCCGTATACCTCGGACGTGGATGTAAGCAAAATCCTGTTCGAAAAGGCCAGTAAATAACACAACAGAATAGTATTTTACGAATTGAGGGAGAGAAATAGAATGGCAGTCTTGAAAACCTGGCTCCGACACGTTTGGCAAGTCCCAACATGTTTAGCGTGCCAATGACATTCGTCTTTATGGTCTGTGAGAACATCAACCAGAATAATATGAGCTATGCTTCATTCCCAAACCTCTTAACAATGGATATCTTCAAATATCATGACATTATTATCTTCAACCCAAGACGTATACAAATTGGATACAAACCTTTACAGGGTTGTACTTGTAGAAAATCGGAGACGCCGGGCAAGCAAGATGGTATATTTGGTCAACTTCAATCAACAGTGGCTCAGTGACATCTGAGTTAGAAAAATTGAGGGACAGTGTTAATCAGGGAAACAAAAAGAGAAAATTCAAAAGCCCTCCAAGTAACGTAAAATAAGGAATACCATGTCGGATAAGCTCGAATCTAGGGTGGCCAATCCATTTTTTCAGGTTATCCTTCGATCCAGTGAAGTAGTTATCAGCAACAATAACCTAAAAACCAAAAAAAAGAAAAAATGTCAAACCCACCAACACCACACATGTAATACAGGGATCATGATCTAGGCTCGTCTATACCGACGTTTTTCGATATGAATCCAACTCACAAGTCAGAATATTCAGAAGGGTTCTATCAATAATTGAAGAAGTACAGAGATTGCAGCTAAAGTACTGAAGAAACTACCTCATTCTTCTCATTTTCCATCAATTTGTCCACCAGGTGTGAGCCAATGAACCCAGCTCCTCCAGTCACCAAAATTCTCATATTTGCCTGTTGTAAAGAGACCAACATTGGTTAAGGAAATGAACAATACTGAACAATATTTCAAGGAAAATAACATAATAATCCACGTGTATAAATCCCTGAAAAGCCTTGTAATAAGATCATATGGACTGCGTTAAGCCTGGATTCTTCCTACATTCCTTGGGTTTTTTAAACAGAGTTTTTCATCAAATTCTTCGAGTTTATTTCGATCCAAAATCTCGATTTCACACACACCAGTTTAATAAACGTCTATTTCTCTATTAGATCCCCATTTTAATAAGAACAATCTTGTAATTCACAATTATGAAGCAAATGCAAAAGAAATCCCCAACAGCCCTAACAAAGAACAGGCTCCTCCCGTAGTATATTACCAAAGAAATGAGCCAAACTTTGACACAAAACAAGTAAAAACAACAGATTATAATGCTCACTCGAAGGCCATTCTGCCTCATCATATAATGCTAGAAAACATAAAACGGACACATTAAGGTAAAAAAAGAATGATACCTGAAAAAATTTGGCACTTCTCAAAGGAGATGGAGTGGGTGGTGGCTTTGTGGAAGCATGGGAATTTCCATTGGAACCCTCTTTAGCCATTACTTCAAATACTGAATCATCAACATTATCAAACATCACAATTGCATTCCAAAAAAAGAACCAAAAACATCAAGAGATTAAGAGACTTGGATTTGATGCAAATGAAAAATGCATCGCATTGGAAATTCAACCAAACGAAGTCAAACTAAAGAGAAATGAAAGAACCAACCCTTCAAAGCAATTCGCCAATATCAAGGCTTTGATTCTGCTGTGTGAAAATATAAGCAGCAACCTATGCCTTTTATATAGCTATGAATAGGTTGGGAATTTTTAAAAAATGAACATAATAATTGAATATAAGAATCATTGGACCAAACAGCAACGACTTGGAGAACAAGAGAGTGAAGAAAAAACTTCAAAAACACGAAAAGTGGAAAACTTTTCTGCAACGGAAGTGAGCACTTACCTACCTAACAATTTCAGATCTAAATCTAGAATCTCAATGAACCTCAAGAAATAAACAAATAAACAAATTTGATGAACGATTTAAGCCTGCGATCAACTAAAGAAAGTGAATGATGTAGAGATTCTATACCTTAGAGTAGCCGAATCAAAATCTGGGGACCTCGATTCTTTCGTTTTCGCCGTGGAATTTAAGGTTTCTGGCACAAATTAATGCAGAAACCGAGGAGGGTGTGGGATTTTTCGACGGTAATCGAAATGGCGGGTCCCAAAATCGGAACAGAGTTGAAAATGAAGAACGTTACGTTTCACGGAGATTAGTTGTCTTTTTGGATTAATGTTACCGTAGATTACACCTCATTTCGTTTATCCAATCTTAATCAAAATCATCCTTCTTAATTTCCCTTTTCATTTACGTTATCGTTTTGACTTTCTCATTCAGCCCATAAATTTTTTAAAAAATTATTTCCACTCTGATGTTTCTAAAAAATTTATATAAATATCACCTCCTCTTAATTTTAGAGTTTTTATTAATAAAAACATCAAAATTAAGCGTAAAAATAATTTTAAATTTGATGTCTTTTTATAAATTTAATTATAGAGTATATAAGTGAAAATACTCGAAAAATTAGTGTTAATTTCTGAAGACAATTCTGTCCTGGTAAAGTTATATATTTTTTTTTTTAATTTTTTTAATTTTTTTTTTCTTGTAAATCACTTACTGATGGTGGAATTAATAAATTCTTTAATCTATTTTTAGGAAATTATTGACAAAAATGTTGAAATTGGAAAGTGTGAAACACGTTTACATGGGTTTTACTTAATTGGAGTTTTTTTTTATTTATTATTTTATATGTCATATTAAATATGAAGTAATTTTGGTAGTTATGGGCCAACTGAAAATTGGGTCGGCCATAGGCTAAACTCGAAAATAATGGGCCGGGGCCCAATATTCGTTTGAGAAAGCCACTGAAAATAAAAGAATGAATCGGAAGTCTCTTCCCTAGACTCTGCATCTCGAAGAATTTTGTCGTCGGATCTTCTTGTTGGCCGCGTGTTTTTCTCTCAATCGATCAGATCGGAAGGTACATTAATCTTTCTCTTTTCCTCTCGGAATTTGATTGGATATATCAACAAATATAAGTTCAAGATTAGGATTTCGATTTCTTAGCAAAAAATGGAATCTCATTCTCTGGACCTGGAAATTCGTCTTCCGAACTGTTTGTGAATTACTACGTTTCAATGTCTAGTTTTGAAGAATCTGAATGATTGTTTGTTGTCGAAGGATTTGATTTCCGTCCTATTGTTGCGTTGCGCAGATGATTGACGATCAGGCGTTAGGGTTTCTTGCCAATTTTCTCGGCATTTTTGTCTTTGCTTTGGTGATTGCTTACCATTACGTGGCGGCTGATCCGAAGTATGAAGGCAACTGAGATGAGAGACCTCGATGTTCAGATGCTTAGATTGATCGGAAAAATGCATTACTGTTAGACGTAGGTCATTTTGATATGACAGGTTTTTCTTCTTCTATGAGAATTTTCTCCTTGCAACAATCAATGTTAACAGCAATTTCATTATGCAATTATAACTTATTCTCGTAATTTTTCGTGGTTATTTGATCGATTGCTTCAGTTGCTCTTTAGTAGATCGGATTCGTTCAAAAGAAAAAAAAAAATCTTCTTCTTCTTCTTCTTCTTTCATATTAGCTACTCTTGCATTTACATGTTTTTCACAAGCGCTCACTTCTTTCAATGGTTTAACATCTCGAGTAGAGTAGATTTCTTCGAGAGAAGTTCTGCACTGTCCATGGTAGTATGGAAAGAATGCACACTTGCATAGTACTGATATTCAGATCCTGTCCTATTTGTCACTCCATCTACTTAAACAACCTAAAAGTTTGACAGCCATTTAGAGAAGGAGCTTATATATATAGACATGGTTTAGTTATTTTCACAATTTAGATAAGATTCGGGGATTGGGTTAGGTCTCTAAAAGCATGGTTCTTGCCTCCTTCCTTAAAACTTTGTCTATTTCTTGGATGATCCTTTGCTCTCACGTTCGAGTATTTGTTCGTCGTTTAGGTCGGTGAGTGAGATTTTTGCTCATTGCCGTCCCATAATTCCTAATTTTTAATTTTATCTAATCAATTTATAAATATATTCACAGTTTTAAAAATTAACGCATGTACTCCCAATTTTGCTTCTAAGTAAAATTTAAATGATCTAACAGAATTTATTAGTCACAATTAAAAATTCACTTTTAATAGTTAGATTAAACCAATACAAACTAGGATTTAATTTATAATTTTGTTAGAAGAATATAATTTTGTTGAAGAATACAAATGTAAGCGAGCATGATGATAAAATTGGAAAGTTTAATTGTAATGGCCCACATTCATAGCCAACATTCATAGCCAGTATAAATTGTCTTTTTTGAGTCATCCTTCTCGGACTTCCACTCAAGACTTTAAACCTAGGAAAAGGTTTACCTATCCTTACAAATAGTGTTTTGTTCTCCTCTCCAATTAATAGAATTTTTTTCAAAAAAATATCTGAAAGGAAAGATATGCCAGTTGAGTTTTCAATTTATTCCATTCGTTTTGATATCTATAGTGACTGAGTACAAATCGTTTATTACAATTATATATATTTATTGATAAATTTAATTATAATTTTATATATAATATATCTATAATTTTTTTAATTTTATGTTTGAATATTGAAAATATTTAATAATAATTAAAAAAATAAATAAGTTACCAAATTGAGAGTTAAATAATCTGAAAATATTAAATTAAAAGCTAACGTAGATACAAAATTCAAAATTTATAATATAAAGAAAAAAGTAAAACTATTATATTAATTTATTTATATTAAAAAAAAAAAAAAAAAAAAAAAAAACAGGGAAAGAAGCATCGAGAACCAACTAGAGACTTGAAAAGTAAACCGTCGTATTTTGATACGCTGGCGGTCCGAACTCTTTTAAAAACTTTCAGCGCTCCTATTCTTTTCCATTCGAACTCTCTAGAACCTTTTTCCCTTCACAATTTCTATATAAATTCTCCTCTTTGCTTCCTCTTCCTTCTCATTCTAAATCTCTAAACCCTAGGTTTCAGTCACCAATTTCATCCTTTTCATTTCCATTTTTTGTTCAGATTCTTTTTGCAATCGTTTTGAAGAGCAACTATGGCCGGTAAAGGAGAAGGCCCGGCGATCGGAATTGATCTTGGAACGACGTATTCTTGCGTTGGCGTGTGGCAGCACGACCGAGTCGAGATCATTGCCAACGACCAGGGCAACAGGACGACGCCCTCGTATGTTGCTTTCACCGACAACGAGCGTTTGATCGGTGATGCGGCCAAGAATCAGGTCGCCATGAACCCTATCAACACCGTATTTGGTAACTCTTCTTTCCTTTTGCTTTGAGATGTTAGTTTTTGGGAGTTGACTCCGCAGATACAGTATTCGCTTTTGAACCTGTCTCTGCATGTTTTTTTAGAGTTGAATCAATATATCGACCGTGTTCTGATGTTGTTTCTCCGTTTTTGAGCCGAAGTTTTTTATTTTTTATTTTTTGACGGAAGTATTACAGTTTTGGGTCCAGGGTCTTAAAGTCCTTGTCTATGTCGTTTTTGCTTTTCGAACTGCATCTCGAGTAGTTGATTATCTGTGATGTTGTCTTACGATGGATATTTGAAGCTAGTTTGGTTTTCCTTATCTTAAGTTTTTTGCTGAGTGTGAAGCGTATGCCCGTATTATTATTTTGTTATTATTGTTTTTGATTTCTTGTTCGGCCAGTTTAGTTTTTCTTATCTGTAGTCCTATGCTGTAGAACTATTAATTGATAAGTTTCTTCTGCATGTTAACAGATGCTAAACGTTTAATTGGCCGAAGATTTAGCGATTCATCCGTCCAGAGCGATATTAAGCTCTGGCCATTCAAAGTTATTGCTGGCCCCGGCGACAAGCCCATGATTGTTGTGAACTACAAGGGTGAGGAAAAGCAGTTTTCGGCTGAAGAAGTGTCATCTATGGTGCTCATAAAGATGAAGGAGATTGCCGAGGCGTATCTGGGAACAACAGTGAAGAATGCTGTCGTCACTGTCCCTGCCTACTTCAACGATTCGCAGCGTCAGGCCACGAAGGACGCTGGAGTCATTTCAGGTCTAAATGTGATGCGTATCATCAACGAACCAACTGCTGCCGCCATTGCTTATGGTCTCGACAAGAAGTCTACCAGCACTGGCGAAAAGAACGTTCTAATTTTTGATTTGGGTGGTGGTACTTTTGATGTTTCGTTGCTCACAATCGAGGAAGGTATCTTCGAGGTGAAGGCAACTGCAGGAGACACCCATCTCGGTGGGGAGGACTTCGATAACAGATTGGTTAACCACTTTGTGCAAGAATTCAAGAGGAAGAACAAGAAAGACATTAGTGGGAACCCGAGAGCTCTCAGGAGGTTGAGAACTGCTTGTGAGAGGGCGAAGAGGACGCTTTCCTCCACAGCCCAAACTACAATTGAGATCGACTCTCTCTACGAGGGAATTGACTTCTATTCCACCATCACCCGTGCTAGATTCGAGGAACTCAACATGGACCTTTTCAGGAAGTGTATGGAACCAGTTGAGAAGTGTTTGAGAGACGCCAAGATGGACAAAAGCACAGTCCATGACGTTGTTCTTGTTGGTGGCTCCACTAGGATCCCCAAGGTGCAGCAATTGTTGCAGGATTTCTTCAATGGCAAAGAGCTTTGCAAGAGTATTAACCCTGATGAAGCTGTTGCCTACGGAGCTGCTGTTCAAGCTGCCATCCTGAGCGGGGAGGGTAACGAGAAAGTTCAGGATCTGTTGCTCCTGGATGTCACCCCTCTCTCACTAGGACTCGAAACAGCCGGTGGTGTGATGACTGTTCTTATTCCAAGGAACACCACCATCCCCACCAAGAAAGAACAAGTTTTCTCTACATACTCCGACAACCAACCTGGTGTATTGATTCAAGTGTACGAAGGTGAGAGGGCAAGAACACGTGACAACAACTTGCTGGGTAAATTTGAGCTCTCCGGCATCCCTCCGGCTCCTAGAGGTGTTCCTCAAATCACAGTCTGCTTCGACATTGACGCCAATGGTATTCTGAATGTTTCCGCTGAGGATAAAACCACTGGTCAGAAGAACAAGATCACAATCACCAACGACAAAGGGCGGTTATCCAAGGAAGAAATTGAGAAGATGGTGCAGGAAGCAGAGAAATACAAGGCCGACGATGAAGAGCACAAGAAGAAGGTTGAAGCTAAGAACTCGTTGGAAAACTATGCTTACAACATGAGAAACACCGTGAGGGATGAGAAGTTCAGCTCTAAGTTAGACCCAGCTGACAAAAAGAAGATCGAAGATGCCATCGAGGGAGCAGTCCAGTGGCTGGACAATAACCAACTTGCAGAGGCCGACGAGTTTGAAGACAAAATGAAGGAACTTGAGAGCATTTGCAACCCAATTGTTGCTAAGATGTACCAGGGTGCTGGTGGACCTGGCATGGGCGGTGCTGCTATGGATGACGACGATGTCCCACCTCCATCCGGTGGAAGCGGCGCCGGTCCCAAAATTGAGGAAGTCGACTAAATTTTCTTTAGATCCCGATCTTTTCTTTTTCTATGTTTGTTTTCCATCGGGTTCGAGGCGATGGAGTTTTATTTTGTTATATGAATCACATATATTATGGGCTTTATTTATTTCCATTGCAATCGAATTTAGTCTTTACGGCCATTTGTTACTGATCAAATTTATAGCTTAATTTTCACAAGCAGTTCTTAGAACTCGGCTAATACTTAGTTTCCAGAATTCGAAACTTTCTAAGTTGAAATATATACAACAGGTTGGCATTGATGGTCCTCCAAATTCGTGCGTTCTGACCTTTTGCAATAATTAGACAACAATCTCCCAACAATCTCCCTAGAACTTTCATTGTACCGTTCGAACGTGAGATGTTCACGAAGGTCTCAGATTCGAACGGATCTGAACTGTAGTTATCAGCAGCCAGCTTGAGATGATGGGGAAATGCTCCATCCTATAGACAGAAAGGCTACTAAATATGAACATACTATTTAAGCATATTTTGTGGAAGAATGAAGGAAGTTGGGGTGTTATTGAAAGGAAAATTCTTTGAGATGAAATGTACAAATATTAGAAAGAATCAAGAATTGGATTTTGATCATTAGGCTCAGACAATACACATCTCATCACGATCTTCGCCACATTGTCCTTTGACATTACAAGAAGGAAGATCTCTAAAAAGCTGAGCTAAGAAGCGAGAGCCGAGAGGATGAAAAACCCAGCCTCAACTCTTTATTAAAATCACCACTCTATGTCAATTCATTCGCTCTGCTATACAAAGCAGAGAGATATTTCCCTTTGGGCACCCAACCTGCGGAAGACAGTTACTTCTTGTTTAGAGATATTTCCCTTTGAAAACTTTTAGATCAAACAAATAAATTGGTAGATAAAGTTTAAAGACAATCACCAGATCTTTCTGAATGACAAAACTTCAATTTCTTCGTATGTCTAACTGCATTTCTTCCTCTTACGATGAGGAATGGGTAACTTGTCCTTATTTTCCTGCTTAGGATCATATCATTAGTTACTCGACAGAAAAACATTACAGAAAAAGTTATCTGAATGACTAACCGTTGTTTGAAGCATAAACTTCAGTCCTGCAATGAGCTCCAGGAAGTACTCATACGCAGCCTTATGAGGTTCCTACATTCGGAAGTAGAAATAGCTTGCATTAGTTCCAAGTGGATCAACAACTATAACAACATGCCACGGGGGGTTATTTAGTCACCTCGATGCTCGGTGGCAAAGGCAACCCTTCTACCACGGGGGCCTTCGGAATCTTAACACTCTGGGTACCTGTAGCATCATCTGTCATTGTAACGCTCCAAGAGGGTGGGTTTAATATGCCCAATGCCTCAAAATCAACCCCAGAGTGAATCTCAATAGGACTAGAGTTTTTAGAAGAGACGGCATCAGCCAGAGCCTATAAAGAGACACAAGAAAACAAAATAACTGATGGAAGCTTATATTGTGGACACTGTTTTGAATAATACTAGTGCAATAACAGAAGGGATTATATGGACCGTGAGTTTCCAAAAGCATATTAGCTCCAAAATCACCACTTCCAAAAGTAACTTATCTTCTACATGAATGACTACTAACAGCTTCAGGCACTTCGAAAATTTATAAACATGCTAAAAATGCATTGTTCGGTAATGAATATAGAGAATGGCCAGATCCTTCCATGCATAAGCAAATGCATGTCGAACCTAAAACCCGACTTTTCCGAATGCGTAAACAACTTATTGATAATATAATACTGACTTACCATTAATGTCAAGTCTAAATCTACATCATGTCCTTCACAGCCAAAATAGCAAACGTCTATCTGTGGAGCAAAACCATGCAATCCAATTAGAAATGCTGGAGCAAAAAAGAAAATTTTGAAATTTGTTCTTGAAAAATTCACCCCAGACTGTAATCAGACATGTATCCTAAAAGAATCTAAAAGGATAATATTACCCTTGCCCTAGCACGCATAGTTGTATTTTGAAGTCTGTGAACTAAGATTCCAATCAGAGAGGAAATTTTATACAAATCTGTTTTGTTCCTCTTTTCTGGCCTTACACAATCAAATTTGAATTGTTCCCTCAGAGACAAAAATGACCATACCTTTGGTTTATCTACAGCTTTAAATGTGTGGAAGGTTGGAATCTCAAAATCTGGATGCTTCAAAGTAGCATATGCTCCCTCGTTATTGTAGCTCTTGCGACCAAACTGCATAACATCCAGAAGGGAGAATTTATCAGAAGTTGAGTTCATATCAAATGCAGGAGCCAGTTTTACTGCCAAATAATAAACTGCATGCAGTATCACAAAAAATTGTTCTGTCATGCAAACAAAACATGAGCCCACAACTAAGAAAACTGCAAATATGCTGACATATCAGATTCATAAAGATGATAGGAAAAGATAAGGTAGCAAAAGGAATATACTTCGTTTTTTTTTCTTTTTTCGATGAGGAACATTCAATTTTTCCAAGGAAAAAAAACTTCATACGATGAGAATGAATTGTCTATGAATTCAGTGCATAAGGAGCGAAAGATGGATCTATAGTTGTTTCACCATTGCCACCCAACTATTAACCACAAACCTTAGGGGCCACTTATTTGTTGCAATTTTAAAATGTTCAACAACCACAGGCAAAAGAATCAAGATATAGGACACCTTGGATGACTACTACATTCATTTCTGTAAGAAGATATTGTGAAGACATTATGCACATAGAGAGGAAACACGTACTTCTTAGATAGGTTGATAACCGTATAGTGATTTTTGGGCATTTTGATATATTTTTTTTAGAACTCAAGAATACAAAGGTACAACCAATAGAGGGGGGAGGCCATTGGGCTTTTTCTCTACATTCATATCACAAATTTATAGTTACACATTGATTCCAGAAATATCTTTGTTATATTAAATTATATCAGATGCATGATTCATTTTGTACATTAAAAAGTTTTTAGTTAAGATACCATTTTGATCCCATACTTTGGACCTGTCTAATTTTAGTTTATGTACTTTTAATAAAGTTTAAAATTGGTCCCTAGTGTTAGTTTGAAGCCAATTATTTAATCAAAATTGGTTAAATAATAGTAATAATTTTCATGTGTATTTTCAAAATTTATAGAATGAAGGATAATAGGAGACTAAATATATTATACAAAAATTAACAAAACTAAAAATAGGGAGTGATTTTAAGCTTTATGGGAAGTATATACATTAAAATGAAATGAAATCAAAATATTGGGACGGAAATGATATTTTAACCAAAAGATTTAATTGATATTTTATCATAAATTTCATAATTAATTATATTAATTTTGATCTAAAGTAATCAATATATTCATCCAGAAAAAATCCATAAACCATTCAATAAAATTCTACTTTAATTTTATTTTCCACCAAATATAAATGGGATATTATACATTTAAATCATAATGCATTTTGCATAAAAATACAATCATCTTTCAAAATTATTTATAGTATAAAAAAAATGAGAAGGAAAGACAATATCATGTATTTTACGTTATTATAAAACAGATAAAATTTTGGGTGCTTGTGAGGTTCCTGAGAAACAGCCCGGCCATTTGGAGTACTGTTCATTCAATGCATATGCATACCTCGAAGAGCTAACAGAGACTTGATTGAAATATGATAAAGAATACATCAACAGGCAGATTAACAAAGTTTTCCTCAATTCTTGATTTTTAAAAACGTATTCAACATAAGATTCCTCTATCAGACATCTAGGCATAGTCTTACATTACCAACTACCTTATATGTTTTCCTTGTTCAGTTCTATAAAATATGATTTAATGACAAGACAACTGAAAACAAGAGAGCGGAGAGTGGATACCTGTGGGAAACCCGGAGCGCTAAATAGAGTATATAGTTTCCCTGATTCTCTGTCATGATCTGAGCTATAACCCATTATCATATCATCAAAATCAATTTTGCCGTCCCTTGAATCTGGACCTTCATGTGATCTAATGATCAACTACAACATTTACAAGAAAATAAAATAAATCAATAAACATGTAGCTCGATATTATAACTCCTAAAGTTGGTTTCAAGCACAACTCAAGAGGAACAAAGATGTAAACAATAATGGCATGCCACAAGTTTTTCATGAACAAATATGTTCATTAAGCCACAGGTTTGAGTATAACCTTTAAATTAGACAGCTTTAAGAATGCTTCAGTCGCATCAGGACCCCACAATAAACCTGCACCTCTGGCTTGGTTTTTCCTTAAACCATCGACTTTAGAAGGATCCGACCATAATACATCTGCCAAAATTATATTTGGATCTTCATCTTTAGTTGGAACATCGACAAAAAACCTTTCGAGCTTGGATAAGTCTTCTAAGGATCCAATCTCCAGCTCGCGTGTCTTCCTTTCCTCGTAATTCTGCACATCAGGATTGCATGGCTTACGAAATAAACCTCCATGGGTTGTATATACTTTTCCAGCAATAATTGCAGCCAAAGGAAGTTCCTTAAATGTTTCCAAGCACCTGTGATATACATTTTCACCTTGCTCGCCATATTTTGTCCTTACTTCTTTCTCAAAACCGTAGGATGATGTACAGATTCTGGTTTCATGATTTCCACGGAGTAGACATACTCTATCAGGCATCAAGATCTGTTTTTTTTAAACGAGAAACCAAAGGCATCAATATCTGTTTTGTGAGCCTCATCAATAAAGGAGGCCCTTAGGTGTTCAATAGATGTGCATTTTCCAGAACAAAAAAAAAAAAAAAAAAAAA